GCATTAGGAGGGTTTCAAATCCCACACATACAATGGGGATCCATTTCAGGAGAGGAACATTGAACTTAGAGACCCTTCGCCCTACAAGGAGCCATTATCTGTATTATAATGTAAGCGAATCCAACATGCCCTTTGCTCTGGAGGGAGACATCATCTCTGTCTCTCAAGGCTTTTTGCTGTACAAACATCCCTGAAAAGATAACATCCTTGGAAAGGGAGCCCGTCTTTCTTGTATACACAGAAACACAATACACTCACAGAGAACTGTCTCAAACAGTGACCTGTTAACAGGATCAGGAAATCAATTTGGAGGGTTTTAAAACATACAAGGGACATTCATTGTAGTAAGAGTAAGCATTTTAAATATTCAATGAAGCTTTTCTTTGCTATTTATACAAATTAAGCTTAAAAAAATCTTTTTCATTGGCAAAAAGTTTGGGAAACATTGGCTATGGTATAAAGACTATATTGAGTTCTTACTTTTGAGATGCCAAACTTGACTTGCATTCTATCCAAATCTATGTAATAGCAATATGTATTATGTTGGGGCTCTCCTGCATTATAAGTCATGAGCATAATTTCATAAAGCATATATTTTAATCTTATCTTTTTAAAGCTAAATTGAATTTTAAAAAGATAATTTTACCTCAGGATTCAGGTAGTGAACAAAATATGTAACACAAATTCTTAGCAACCAGAAAATTTTTTTTAAATGTGGGAAAATTGACCTCACTGACTGAATTACAGCTTTGCCAAGCACAGAATTTAATGAAGAGCATGTACAAAAATTAATAAATTGACATCTTAATAGCTCCGAAGCAAATGCATATTCATTTTACACATACACACAATTTCATTAAAATAGTTTTTAATAAAGTTTTTAAATAGTTTTAAAGTTTTTAAAAGCCCAGTTTCATAAATATTTACTGAGTTATTTCTATATGCAAAGGATCTGAGTTAGATCAAAGGATATAACAATATGTAAAATACTTATCTGGCTTCATGTGCATGTGGATTAGAGTGATTAATTTCAAAGGGTTGAAAATATATTTGGTTTTCTTTTGTATATACTTACAACACTATTTTTATTTAATAAGAATTCATTGCTAGTATTGCTGAGATGAAGGTCATAATAGAATGCTGTAATGGCAACACAATTATTTTACATTAATTGAAAAAGTTACCTGTTTAAATTTATTGTATTTCTAAATCCTGTAGGAAAACAATTTTAACAATGGATGTAGATTGTTTTAGAAACAGACTGTTCACATCTTAACACATGAAAGTCACTGTTTCAGAATTAGACGGTAATATATGCCAAAGAGAGAACTTCAATGGCAGAACCAAATACTATATCACTGCATCTATTAAAAACAGAATCAGTATTTCAGTAAGATAAAATCACTTAAAGGAATAAGATACAAATAGCATTCTTCTTGGAAGTTCTATATTTAAGCATGAAAAAAATACCATCAATTTATTTTTTTGTTTTCTTTTTCCAAAACATATTAGAACCACCTTTAATGAGGGTTCAGTTAGCCTCAACCTTCCACTGACAACCTTTCATTGTCTTCCTACAATGAAATGTTTAAAGGAAAACAAAAAATACAATTCATCTGACAGACTTTTTTTTTTTTTCTTTTTTTGGTCCCAGGGATCGAACCCAGGGGCACTTTACCACTGAGCTACATCACCAACCCTTTTTATTTATTTATTTTTTATTTGGAGATGTGGACTTGCTAAATTCCTTAGGTCCTTGCTAAGTTGTTAAGGCTGGCTTTGGACTTGTGATTCTCCTGCCTCAACCTCCCAAGCTGCTGGAATTATAGGTGTGAGCCACCAGGCCTGGCCCAGAAGTTAATTTTTAAAAAGTTTTTTCCAGGGTAAATTTTGGAGTCAGAAGTAATTTAGACAAACCAAAATGCCCTTTAAGATGCTAATAATAGTTTATAAATAGGTATCTTTTTAAAATTTACATATAATGGAAACTCTAAAGAAAGGTGACATTTAGAGGAAAGGCAGCAATATATAGACATTTAGAAGAGGTCCTTTGATGGAATCAAGACTGGGGCCAGTCAGTTGAGATAACTCAAAATGGGGAACTACAGAAAAAACTAGAAATCTTAAACATTTGAACTTTAAAGATGTCAATATATATTCCTGTCTACATTTTATATAAGGCATTGCCTAATCTTGGAGTATAATCACTAGTTGCAGTTTCAAGTTGTCTTTTTTGTATCAAGCATAAGTATGTAATGCATCCTTTAAGATGACCCATTTTGCATTCTTTAAAGTGAATTGAAAGGTTGAAGAGTCTCAAGAAACAATGCAATTTCAGTATCTGTTACAATTTTTATGATCCCTTTCCTCCCAATCAACCACACTTTTTGCTCCAATTCCTTCAGCAAGTTATTTGAAGCTTTCAGCTTCATATTTATTTTGAATATTTTATTATGCTCCATGTGTTATTTAATATGCATTTATAATAATAACCCCATGGCAAATGGGATTGGAAATACACAAAATTGATTCTTGAGAGTCATATAAAGCTCATTTGTAGGAGTGCTTCAGTAGTAGGGACATTACTAGATATCAGACCAGAGACTCTCTGAATACCAATGAGTGGCTTTATAAAAATGTGAAGAGCATGGGTCTGGCAAGTCAGGTAAGCAGAAGTACATTAGAGAAGTTTCTACTAAATGTCAATTCTTCTTGCTACTAGGATTCATATACAGAAAATATTTGGTAATATTCATCTTCTTCAACACACAAGAAAAAATTTCTTTAAAAAACAACAGTTTGTCTCAAGATCACAAACATATTAATTTAATTTTTCACACTTCTCATTTTAAAAGAGTATATGTTGTTCAATCAAATTCCTGTGAAGATTTTTTTTTAAGTTACTGGGGATTAGACCAGGAAGTTGGAGTATTACCCTGAGTTATAGCCTCAGCCCTTTTATTTATTTATTTATTTTTTTGATTCAGGGTCTTGATAAGTTGCCCAGGCTGATCTCAAACTTATGATCCTCCTGCCTCAGTCTCCTATGTAGCAGGGATTACAGACCTATGCTATTGTATCCAGCTCCTATGAGGATTATAAAACAGTATCTGGGCTTGGGTTGTAGCTCACTGGTGGAATATTGCCTAGCATGTTCAAGGCTGAAAGCCCTCAGTTTGATCTCTAGCACCACACACAAAAAAATGAATAAATAAAAATCTAAATGTAATTAGTTAAATACTTTATTCTTGTTATAGTTTCTCTTAATAATTAAATGTTATATCCCCAATATTTATTGCTTATTATCAATTATCACCAGAGAACTCAGTACCTCTTAGAGCTAAGATCTTTAAAAGCACTTTTTAAAAAAAATATATGCGTTAGTACTTTTTCTCTCAAGTGTTGGACCACTTTCCTGCAGCAGAAAATGTGCCCAAACTTGTATAATCTCCCTCTGAGGGAGATTATGATATTAAGCATAATGCTGCAGTGAATGTTGCCTTAAGTTCTTTTCCAATATCTTTGGAAAACATTGTTTAGACAATCCTTGGTCAGATTTCCCAGTGATACTTTTAGTACTCCCATGACCACTACTCAACTCAACTTGTTTTGTTGATCTCATAGTGTAGTTTTGAGGTGGTTCTGCTGAACTCAATCATTTATATCTCAACTTTGATCTTTATCTTCATCCCCGGGATGGGTATCCATAATTACTCTGTGATCTTCACTTTCAGATTTCTTTGGAAAGCAATTTTGTTTAATTGTGCGGTGGGTCCCTTTCATTGATTCATATTTGGACTTTGTTCTGTGCTCATTTTTAAATTAGTTACAGATAGATGGCAGGAAAATCAAGCAATTAATAATCAGTGTCTATTGTATCTGTATAACCATATGAAAATTCTAGAGAAGCCCTGACCTCTAAGGAAGCAGTACAGGTCAGGTTCTACAATACTTGCTTAGCAATGGATGTGTCAGAAGGTCTGTATACTAGTAGTTTTTAAGGTGTGTAATATTAAAACCAATGCGTTTTACTATGAACAGTAAAATGGGCTGCATTTTAAGTTGATTAAATAAAAATATTCTATCATTTAAGAGGGATACTGTACATTTAATATGCACATTAAAGATTAAATATAAACTTACTAATATTTATTCTAACACTAAAATTTAATAAGTGTCCACTATTTTTATTGCTAAGAATAATAGCTTGGTAGAGGCAGTTATTTCTGTTAAATTTGTCTCTATAGTACACCTGGAGGATCTTCATTGACTCAAAGATTATGTATCCTAGATCCACTGACATCTTCTAACAACCTTTAAATCAAGTGCACCTTGTCAATCAATTGCTCTCTGTTACCAATCTCTGGGAGGGCTGCAGAGCTAAAGTATACTTGGAAGCCAGAGAAACCTCTTGTGTATTCCTCCATTCTGAAAGCCCCAGATCAAGGTATATTTTTCAGCTTCTTAAAGAATGATTTATTCTGGCTGGTGATGGCAAAGGAAAACTCTACACATTACATACAGAACGTTCAGATCACAAGGAGGCCTGCAGAATAAAGGGCCAAGTAAAATTCCTTCCCCACTGCCCAGTCCCTGGAAGATCCTTGCAGATTCTATTTCAAGCTACAGACTGTGTCCACACACGCACCGGCCAAAAAGGCTCACAGAGGTCTGTTTTGAAATGGCTCGTCGTTTTTTCCTCCCTTCCTCAAAAACCCGGCAGCGATGGGAAGATTACATGTCAGTGTGGCTTTACTGCGGCCATAGTTAGTGGCACAAAGAGAGATTTCACTTAAATATCCTTTCGATTCTAAGCACCCTTTCCTGCATAGAAAGCAGCTTTCCGCCTCCTGGAGATTTTAAAAAACCCAAACACCACCAGAGCCATAAAGGAGACCCATTCTAGAGCCTTTTGGCTCGAGAGCCGACCCCCTGCCTGGAGGGAGGGGCCTTCCTCGCCCCGCCCCTCGCCCCCGCCCCGCCCCCCGCGTAACCCGGATACACACCCACGCTCCCCTTTCACCTATCGGCGGCTGGCGAACGTGGAAGTCCGACCTGTGGGCCGGTAGAGGTTCCGGGAAAGTGGGGCGCGTGGGGAGGACACCGTGATCTTCACGGCGCGGCTCAGCCTTTCCGGGAAGGGAGCGATGGGGCGCGCGGGCGCCGGGGAGCGGGCGCCGGTGTAGCCCGAGCGGCTCCTGGCCCGGAGCCCGGCGACGGCGGGAGCGGGGAGGCCTGTAAAGGCCGCTGCCCCAAGCGCCCGGCCTCCCGCGCCATGGCCCCCATGGGCATCCGCCTGTCCCCGCTGGGGGTGGCAGTGTTCTGCCTGCTGGGGCTCGGCGTGCTCTACCACCTCTATTCCGGCTTCCTGGCCGGCCGCTTCAGCCTCTTTGGCCTCGGTGGCGAGCTGGGCGGCGGCGCGGCGGGGCCCGTAGCCGTGGCCGATGCGGGCACGGTGGACTTGCGCGAGATGCTGGCAGTGTCCGTGCTGGCGGCAGTCCGCGGCGGCGACGAGGTGAGGCGCGTCCGTGAGAGCAACGTCCTCCATGAGAAGTCCAAGGGGAAGACACGCGAGGGAGCAGAGGACAAGATGACCAGTGGCGACGTGCTCTCCAACCGCAAGATGTTCTACTTGCTCAAGACTGCCTTCCCCAGCGTGCAGGTCCGTACCTGGAGCGCTGGGCTCGGTGGAAGCCCATGGGCGGCGGGGCCACTCTGGCCAGGGAGCCTGGGATCCTGGAAACGTTTTGCAGCCTGTGGACTCCCAACAGTCCCAGGTCGTGGGAGCCCCTGATTTCCATTTTGCAGATGGGAAAATTGAGAGGCAGAAGTTAAGATGCACAAGGTCATGCAAACAGTTCTTGGAAGAGCTGGGTAAGGTTCCAGGTAGTTTAACTCAGAACCCATGCCCTCTGGTCCTTCCCTGGATTGTGTAGTGAAGTGTACCAGGGATCAGGAGACTTGGGTTCTGAGAAGGCTCTGATACAAAAAGGCTGAGAAGGTAAATAACAACGATGCTTCAAGCTCTTCTGTAACATAAAAGAATTGGACTAGAATCCCTCAAACCCCTTTTCACACTTGATTTCATTATTGGAAGGGTCATTCATGGCTGTAGATTACACGTTTTCTGGCCTGCAGGCCAGTAGCCAACCAAAATTCAAAAACTATAAAAGTCTGCTGCAGAGCTGTTAGTTCCCCAGGGCATGAAGGGACAGGGCATGCTCCTAAATTAAGTGGCTTCCCCCCACCTCCACCCCAGGATCTCTTAATGGCTAGTAGTTTAGAGGCCCTTCAAGGAAGTATTTGGAAATACGACTCCAGGCAACTTCATTTTAGCTCTGTAGCTCTCTGTCCTACCTGACACTTGATTAAAGATCTCTAATTATGCCAGAAAATTTAGAATTGAATAGCATTTACCTTGTCTTCAGGTAGGTTTCTGAAGGAGTTGACATTTTCTTCAGGAAATCCAGACATTCTGGATTTATGATTAATACTTTTGGAATTCATCAGTTCAGTGGAGCTGTTGAGTTGAATATACTGTAAAACTTTTTTGAATTTATTGTAGTTCCAGAAGAACTGAATGTAGTGTAGCAATATCTTTTAAATGTATGTCTCATTTAACAGTTGACTTTGATTACTAGGAAGAAAAAAATATTTCCAGTGAAGTTTGATTAGATAAAACAGTTGTAATTAAACCCAGGCTGTCTTGGAAGGTATCTATAAACTTTTGCTGTTGTTCTTGAGATAGTTAAGAATATTGTCATTGTAGAGTTATGTATCTTATGTAACTCCTTCCATGGTATCATATTTGTGCTTTGATTTTCTTTATCCTCTCTTTTTCCTACCTCTCTTCCTTTCTTTTTCTTTCATTTTTTCCCCACATTAAACATTGGATTTCATGTTATGAGTTGCTGGATACCAGATATAAAAGAGACATTAGTAGAATTTTTTTTCAAATGTCTACTAAAACAAAATAGTGCATTTTCCACTTTTTCTTTTGCCCTATTCTGCTTTATCATCATATATAATACTTACTTTGTTTGGATTTAGATGTAAGATGTGCTTGTGAAGTATCTGTCTTCTCTAAAACACCTGTATTTCTCTAAAACAGGATTTTCAGAGAAGTTGATATATGATAGTTATAACATTACTAACAATAACCACTTACTCATTGTATTCCAGGTGTCTAGATACTGACCACACAGGAGGACTTCATTTGGTTCTCACAGCAACTTTGAGAAATAAAATTTTTTATGCCCACTTTACAAGATGGGAAATCTGAGGCTTATGACACTCCATTCCACAGCCTACATGAACTGTCTTAACTCTTCATTGTAGCCAGACATTTAAGAGGCTACTTAAAACTTAGTGTGACTTCCTGAGGGAAAAAAAAAAGTACAACTATAGAAGCTTTAAGGCGGTAATAGTAAAATATAAGCAAACACAGTTGAAAATTTTTTAAAAAGATAAGTTAAAAGTGTTTTAAATATTGAAAACATACATCTATATGTGTGTGTTTGGGTTTACTCATGTTATCACTTATTAACAAAAAATAGAATAGCTGCTAAAGGCAGTGAGTGGCATAAACACAAAAACTAAAAAGTCTCTGCATTAGAAAGTAACTTTTTGTCTAATTGTGACTATTTGAATGTTTGCCTGTACATCTTTAGGGTTCATGTTGTATGTCGACTGGAGGAATAGAGGAGGTTGTGTTCATTTATACAGCGTCAAAGTAGGGATTGTGTCATGTTGAGCCATCTCCTTTTACCCCTGTTTTATTACTCTAGAGGCCAAATGTTCTATCCATGTAAAAAATGAACTCAACACTGGCATTTTTTTTCCACTCTTGTCTCTCCCCTCCCCCATTATCCCAAAGCAGTCTTAAATACCAACCAGTTTTAAATGACTGGTTGGTATTAAAGTCTCACCTCAAATTTTTTTGGTAAGAAACTTAGATCACATTCTTTTTCAGTTTACTTCCTAATGGAAAATGACCATGGAAAAGCCACAAGTACTCTTTTTTTAAAATCCTGGTGGATTAGGGAGGCATAGTGGTACATGCCTGTATTCCAGCACCTTGGAACGTTGAAGTAGAAGGATAGAAAGTTCAAAGCCAACCTAAGCAACTTAGCAAGACCCTGTTTTTGTTGTTGTTTTTTAAGAATTAAAAAGACTGTCAATATGACTCAGTGTTAAGTGCCCTTGGGTTGAGACCTGAACTTGCCTATGTAAGGATCCCTCCTCAGTAAAAGAATATCAGGAGTTATTCTAGAGTGCTCAACTTGGCATGTTTATCTTTCAAGGGACATTTGGCAATGTCTGGAGATACTTTGGTTTTTCACAACCAGGGTGGAATACTACTGGCATTAGAATATGAGTAGAGGGTAAATATCCAAAGGTGCTCAAGACAGTCCTGCATAACAAAGAATTATCTTGCCCAATTTATCAGTTGATGCCCAAGTTGACAGATCATATTCCACAGACATGTGCTGTCTCAGCAAACTCAAGTTTGGCCCAGGATTGCTAAATTTCCTTTTGTCTTCAGTCTTTCTCAAGTTGACCTATAGGATGGGAGTTAAACGTGTCTCTTTCAATAGAAATACTCCCTGAAAAAGTCTGAGAAGTGCTCAGAGAACACTTGCTTTGCTATCATGTCTAGCCACTAGAACAGGTGATCTTATCTAGTCATATAGCTTTTGGGGGCCATAGTTCTGTAATATCAAAATAACTAGTAATTGATACAGATATAGGTACTATAGGCAAAGAAAACTAGTTCAAATTATCAAGCCCAATAGGTTTTAGTGCTACAAATTCAGTTAATCTGATGAGTTTGATGCATGTTAGGTAGATCATATTCTAGACTCAAAGGAGTTTAGACCACATCTTTAGTATTATAGTACTAAAAGAAGACCTCCTATTCTTATGGCTTACAATAAGCTATCCTGTGGGCTTTGGGCACTTGGAGGTGAATGAGCCTAGTTATAAGACTGTCAGTATAGAGTGTCTGAGAGATGAAGCCCAGAGTTAAGCCAACTGGAAAAGTTATGCTACCTAAAATTTATTTAGCCTTTAGCAGATAGCAAGCCCTTAATTAAACTTTTTAGTGTCATAATTAATTTATCTGCAGAACAACATAGGAAGTTAAGTAGGGTTGCATCCTTCTGTACCTAAAGATATTGGGATTTGGAGAAGCTAAATAATTTGCCAAAGATTGCCCAGCTAGAAAATAATCTTGGGTTTACTGAGGTTAATAAAATAGTCTGTGAATCAGTTCAGGTATTTCAGAGTCATGAGCATAAGCAGAATTGGGAGCGGTGGTAACAAAAGTGTACTCTTAACTGCAATGTTTTGAATGAATGGAAAGGCTCAGATTAGATACTTGGAGAGTAGTTTGGAGGGAAGTGAAAGGAGGACAGAGAGGTTGATTTTAGACTTTTTATGGTAAGAGATGATATGTTTTGGATTGGGTTGTGGTTTTAGAGAAGGTAAATATAAAATGATGTGAAAGAATTTTTAAGGGTATACTAAAAATGATTCCTGTACTTTTCACAATTGATGTTTTGTTGATGGTAGAAAGAGGAGCATATTATGAGTGCCATTTCAGATTGGTCTTAGAGGTTTAATTAGAGGTGCCTTTGATGTGCCAAGGGAGATGCTAAGGAGGCAGTTGCCTTTATGAGTCTGAAGATTGTCTTGGGGTCCTACTCTAGTCGTTGTACTCAGGGAAGGCCACTTTGAGCTGGTATCATTTGAACTGAGAAAGAGTATAGCAAGTACAAAGAAGGGACCATAAGAAGACTGCTAAGTCTGGAGTGTTCTAAATAGAGTGAAAGGAGAGAGATACTGCTTAGTAGTTGCTATAGTCAGATCATGTAAGAGTTTGTAGATGGTGGTAAGGAATTTGGATTTTATCTCTGCATTATGAGAACCATTAGAAGATTTTTAACTGGAGTGGCATGATCTGATTTGGGAAGACAGCAAATTGCTTGGTTGAGAATGGAAGCTGTATAATGGTAGTGATTTTGGTTTTTTCATTGTATTTTAATGCTCAGAACACTTTAAAATATGTTAGTCAGTAAATAGTTGTTGAATGAATGAATGATGAATGAGTACACTCACTATAGGAGGCAAGAATAATTGAAGAGTATAACAGAAATCCAAGGAAAAGATCCTAGTGGCTTAAACTAGCATTTTCTTGATAGACATGATGACGCATTCTTAGAATTAAGAGGCAGTATTTTCAGGACTAACTGCTCAGATGTGGAATATGAAAGAGGAATAAGGAAGACTTCCACATTTTGACCTTAGCAACTGTTTATAAGGTCATTTATAATGATGGGTAGTGGATTTATTAAATTGGAGGCATGTAGTGGTACTGTGTGTTATTAGAAGCAGTTGTGCAAAAACAGATTGGGTAATTATGCTCAGGAACTTGTTTTCTCGCTGCAGTTGTTAATCCCTAACTTAATTCTCAATGAGATCACTTCAAATAAAGTTTGTTAATATATTAACTCATATTCAGTTGAGTATATATGGAGAAGCTGACTTAAATTCTAGATAGAAATCTTACTCATGAATCATAAAGCTCAATAGATGCTAGTCAGACTTGACATTTTTGTAAACTACAGTGGTCAAGATGCTAGTCAGACTTGACATTTTTGTAAACTACAGTGGTCAAGACCTGTGACCTGCTCTAACTAGGAATTTGTTTGTTTATTATAAGTTTATTCCTTTTCTTGTGATGTTATTGCTGCATTCATTCACCTAGTCTAGCCTTATTATTAAGACCATG